AATAATAATAATAATAATAATAATAATAATAATAATAATAATAATAAAAGGGTATCTTCTGCATACAATTTAATAAATTCACGAATAGAAAAGGAAATTTGTACATATATCAATTAATTTCTCAGCTGTTGACAAACGCAATTAGCCAGTAAGTAGCTCTTTCGTGCAGTATCATCTCATAATTCATTGCCCCTTACTTTTGTTGATTAAAAAACATGTATATATAATGAATGTCACCGGGTTAAAAGTAGATGATTGAATTTTTCAACTGATTAAATTAAGAAAACACTTACTTTTTCGCGCAAATCGCCCATACAGAATTCTAAAACGTTTTCGATCCTTCTTAGCACAACTATTTAAAATTTATTGCAACAAGCTTTTGAGAATTCTCACTTTGCTACGCATAATTACTTAGCGAAAATCGGTAAGAAATCCTTCATGCATTTATATAAATTTAGATCTCCATTTTGTTCTATACATGTCATTCACGTGCACTGTGAGCGTGAATTTTAAGTTTTTAATTCCGGAAAGAGAAAGCATATATAGAAAACTCAGGACAAAAAACAATAATTGCAGAAGGCGGAGAACGGGGTGGGTGACAGATTGATTTGAAATGTTTTCCAAAAATGTGAAGATATATTTCATCGAAGTCAATAAACTCAAGTTTTTAATTCTTAAAATCGATTTATTACGTCTAGCCACATAACCATATAACTTAAATCCTTCCATATCAAATGTTTCTTTCGGGCAAGTTTGCTTTCACTTGATGTTCGAAGACCTCCTATCGGTCCACCGGATCATTGCGTCTGTCGTATAAATGATGTTCTTCTCCTCCGTTACAACCTTACATTTGAAGTGATTTAATCGTAAGGGCTTGCGTTCAAGCTGAATGTTTTTCTAGGTTTTTTCTAGGTTTTTCTCATCTGACGTACGTTTTTTAACGTTGGAATAATATTTAAAATGACTAATCAAAGCTTTCTATCGTATATTATAAATGATTATTTAAGAAGTCAAGAAATTTACAGACCAGTGTTAGCTTCTGGTGAAAAGTTCCCTACCTTTATTTAGTGTAAAACAGTTCCTAAACATAGCAAACGTTTCGATTATCGAGATACAGTTGTAATGAAAGTTATCGATTAAATGTTTTACTACAAAATTTAATTTTAGTATAAGAAAAACGTTAAAGGTTGTATTACGTTTAATTAAAAAAAGTTAAAGGAAAATAAACAAAATCATTTCCATATTAATTGCCAAGAATTAGATCATTTAAGACGTTACAACGGCGTACATTGCTATGCATTGCTAACTTCATTGCTATGCTTCAACTCCCCCAAATCTTTAGAACTTTGCATTCATCAAAATAACTAGTAATGGGACTGGAATTTAAAAATGGGCCTTCTTTGCCTTAATTATATGAAAATAAAAAAATCATTATATTATTAATAATATCTGCTCACATCTATAATCGATCTCTCTAAATTGCTAATAATTTGAAGTAAAAAGGAAAATTTGTATTATCCAAACCTGAAATGAATATGAATAACTTAGTTTTGGAAGAAATATTAATGTCAAATGACTGATATGTTAATAAGCGTCACTACACTCTGCCCTATTTAGATGTAATTTAAAATTTGAAACACCCTGCCAAACGGACGTGATCACGCAGCGTTATTCATAATGTCTTCATGGAAGAGATGAGAAAATTTTGGAAATGGAATATTTTTCAGCACTGTGGTCTTTAGAGTAATAATGAAACTTTTATGATCATAGCTCATAGTTAGATAGCTTCCCTTCCAGGAAGGTCGACAGACATATAAAGTTTATTATTTATAACCGATTTCTTGATTTCGCTTTCTAAGTAAATAAAAGTAAAGTAAAAAAGGAAAGAGAATCATTTGCAAGACAATTATTAAATGATTTCTAGGCGAATAATTGAATTCCATTAATTAATGCTATTTGTTAGTGATATATTTATGTATAAATGTATATGTATATATTTATAAATATATATAAATATATATAAATATATATAAATATATAAATATATATATTAAATATATAAATATATATATTAAATATATAATATACTAAATATATATAAATATATATAAATAAATATAAATATTATATATTTAATATATTATATTATATATATACATATATATATATATATGTAGTATTATTTACATCTTTTTTTATGTAAGCGGGTACGTATATACGTACGCCTGTATGTATTTACCTTTGTACGATTATGTAGGCGTGCTTGAATGTATATATGTACATATGTTAAATGTAATCATAAGTAATAGTTCATGAAAATTGCAAATAATTTTGTAAAAAGTACTCGCATTCATCAACTTTGATGAGTATTGATTAACACGTTGTAAATGCAAGATTATGAATAAACTAATAAATCTAAAGGAATTAAAAATAAATAAAGATTGAAAATAATTAATTGAATTGGCTTCTAATTCTACGGGATTAGTAGTCTCGAAGCATTTGCTTATAACCCTTAGTTCTTAAGATCATAAAGTCAGGTGTAGATCTAATCAAAATTTCAAAATGAAAAGCGCATTCTTTTATAACTTTGATTTTATTGAAATATCTGCCTAGGGCATACGAAATCAATCTTAAATTATGATAAAAGTTGGTTAATAGACAAGACTACACTACACATTACGCAAAGCATTTTGAAGCCATTTCGCTACTTTGCTGCTTTTTGCTGGAAAGATTAGCCATAGAAGAGTAGTGTGGGCAGAATTGTTTTTATTATTGACTTGAACTTTTCAATATTTATATTACAGACATTTCAAACAGTTATACTAAAAAAATTACGTCAAACTTTCTATATTTCTCTATCATATAGAAAACTTTTAAAAAATCTTACAGAATACGAGTCGGAGAAGTTGGTTAAATTTAGAAGTCTTGTCATATTTTCCAAAAAGGTAATTTTGAGAGCTGTTGAATTTTGATTTCATTATTCGTAAATAACTTCTAATTACATTTCTAATGCAGCTACGAATGGGCAAGTATGCATTATTTATTACGTTATGGGTGCTATATTTCGTGTCAATATTATTGATGTTGGGAGACTTACTACTAACGGAGCTCAACATATATGTTTTAGGATTTTACGCACTAACGAATGCCACCTTACTTTATCGACTATTTGGTGTTTGCTGGTGTACTGTAATTTTTCATGGTTTGATACCGTTGGCGGTCCTTATCTTTATGATTGTTGTCCATTGGTTTGATGATCTGAAGGCTTTTCTGGTTTCAAGTATTGTGATACCGTTGGCTATACAAATAGTCCTCGCCATACCATTAGTGTTATTACGTTGCCGTCGTGATTGCAACTTGCAAGCCTTACTAACTGGAATTCATGCTCATCTCGGCTTAATGGTTATAATAATCTATTTTTGGACTGCATGCTTTCTTCTGAGGCGCAATATGGCGGCTGCCTTATTATGCATGCTCTATATGCTCGTCTATCTAGCAATAATACTTACACCTCACCTGTACGGAGTTACACGACAACTGTTCGAAAAATATATACCAAAGTTCAAACGGAAGGTAAAATCAAAGAACGATAAGAAAAAGAAAAAAAAAACGAAACTAAATCCCGAACAAGCGGCTCCCTCCCGTAATTAGCAACTCGTGACAAATAGACATTTATCTTATAATCTTTACGTCTACACATCTTCGAACATTGAAGTTGTTTATTTAATAAAAGATGTTTTCATAATACAAATGATTCGGTAGTTTTCCACTTCTTCTCCACTTTACTGCAATTCATTGCATCCAATCGATAGAAGAAAGGCATGTACAGATGGAAAGGAACACCAATGTTTTCTTCTTCAATAGGGGATCCCTAAATAGATGGATATAATCGAGTCAATGGAGTTCACATTATTATGTTAAGGTAGTTTAAAATAAGATATAAGTTCGATTTTATTAATTTTTGCCATGATGTCGCGATCTATAGTTACTTTTAAAACGCTAAGAGGGGGCATAAAGGGAAAATATGTGTTTCTTACATATGTTTTCTCTTTACGAGTAAATGTATTTTTGCTCAATTATTTTTACCAGAAATTCGACTATGAATTGACTTCAAAAATTAACGTAATTTTTATGCTCATGTTGGTAAGATGGTGTTGTAATACCGTAACTTAAATCCGTCTTTTGTGAATTTCACGTTATTATTTATTTTCTTCTGAAATAAAGTTCGTGCCACCGATTTATGATTTTTAACGTAATCTAGGTTTTATTTGCAATTCTTAGGAAGTCTATTTACAACTTACTCAACCCTCTTGACTCAATCAATCTTGCCTTGTGGAGAAATGCCGCTACATGCCCTTTTACAAGCAATTTACCATTAACTAAATTCCTCGCGACTTTTCTTTCCTTGTGTTCGTCTCTAATTCCGCTAAATTACTGCCAATTGTGAATTTTTCCGCGAGCCGCCAGGTGCACAAGACAGATAAAGCGTCATAATTGTGTCTTTGGTTTTTCCTCTCTTTGCAATTTTGTTTCTTGAAAAATCGACTAGTTTTTATGAAAGCTTATATCATAAAATATTGGATTTTCGTCACGATGCGATCGACCGTTGCTGTATAACACCGCGATGTACGCACTCCCACAATAACCTATACATATTGTTGGACAACGGCAGACTTTCAATAACACTGCCTAGTCAACCATTTGAATTTTCATATGTATGACTCCCGATTAGTCCGTCTACTTGCCGATTTGTTGCTGCAGCCCTCACGATCACATAAATTTGATGTTCAAGCTTAGATTTGAAAATTGATCTTGTTCGCCTGCAACCATGCCTACGAATTGTCAGAGGTATAGCACAAGAACTTGTTACAAATATCTCGCGCGAGCATTTGAGAACCATTTGGTATAACCTACATTCCGACGGGGACAGGTATTGAGCGGGCAGCTTAAATCAATTCAGGAAAGTGTTCTGAATCGAATGCAGAAACAAACTCAAAATTGATCGGTATAATAAAAGGTGGGTGTGTCTTAAGTCTTCCTTGGTGTTACAAACATCCGCAGAAAATTTAATACACCCTGCACTACAGGTTGTGTGCGGTATAATAACACAAATGACTTGATTTCAAAAGAAAAACAAGAACAAGAGCACAACGCTTTTTTTTATGCACATCGCTATATATATATATGGGTTTCTTTTTAAACATTTCCGAATATTGAAATAATAAATATTTCGTTGAATTTCTTCGAACATATCGATGCCTCCTATCATATTTCAATTTATTTAACTTTTGAACATTTCTGTCCATCAATCCGCTTTGGTGGTCGCACAAATAAATAAATAGTTTCTTACAATGTTTCAATCGTTAAATAATGCGACCTGATTACTTAATGAGGGATTGAAAATGTTTTCTTTTTTTCTTAAGACTTGTGTAATTTCTGTTCTTTTTCCCGAATATCTTCACTATTAACATTATTTACAAACAAATCTCTCAAAAGCCAAGCGTAATTCAGTGTACACTAGACATGTGCTAATGAATCCTACAGAAACGTGTTGCAATTTGTTATATTTGTTTCTTCTAAACATCATTAAGGAAGGATCTCTTTCGCGTCTTAATTTTAATTTCATTCTTTTTAGCCAGCAAGTGGTTTTTTCTGAGTGATGCTATCAGGATGAAAGGCCCAAAGATAAAACTCTGCTTATATACTACATTACAATAATTCTGTGTTTAATAACACTTTTTAAGTTTTGACGAAAACCTAAATTCTTATTGGAAATTGGAAATTCTTATGGAAATATGACATAGATTTTAAAACTGTTTATTTATCTTTGGAGTTAGGCGGAATTGGGAGTTCGTCTTAATCACATATAGATATATATATATATATATATGAGTAAAGGAGTGGTATCGGCAGCGTCAATCACACTCATTGTGCATATATACAATTTATTGACGGCCTTATTATTTTTGTACCCATCTATACGACGCCTGATATAGGTTAACATACCTGTTTGTGCGAACATATGTGACCCCCGAAAAAATTAAAGGTAAACCTTAAGTTTGTCTGTGCATCCGTCTGTCTGTCGGTCTGATGCCTGTTTATGTGAACTAAACCCAAGATACAAGTTGCAATTTTTGAGATATTTTGATGAAATGAACACAAGCTACTAGTTGCAATTTTTGAGATATTTTGATGATATGTGGTACACTGACATGATTTGATCGAAGGACGAACGCAATTAAAAACGGTTTGGATTAGTCCACCTTTCCGACCACTCGCGATATAACGACCTATTTTGAAAAGTCGTGATATGAAAATAAGTGCAATTTTCAAAATTTCTCGACAAAACTCGCTTGTAATAGTATTTTGACATTCTAAATTGGTATGAAAAATTTGGTTCAGCTGGCCATTGTTTACAATAGTAAATTGAAAAAAAAATGAACATTACCAAATTTGGATCGTATGGGTGTAGTTTTGGAATATTACCGTTTATAAAGACTATTTATTTATTTATTTTATTTTACCCAATATTTATACATGAAATTCAACTAAAGAAAATTACAGTCGGATTCAGTTCATCTTAATAGAAAATCTTATACTAATACTTTTAAAACTAGTGCACAATAAAAAGGAAGAAAAAAGAAGAATAATAATAATAAAGTAAGTTTAAAAATAACTTAAAAAGTTATAGTATGAGGGAATATAAGCTCTTATAGGCCAAAAAGGCTTAACTGTCAATGTTTTATGACGAAAATTAGTTCATGATGGAAATTTGACATAAAAAATAAGTGGACTGATTTTGAACCACAATGGTCTACATCTTGGATCCCATTCCGTATACGATTTCTCATGAAGAAGAAGATTTAATTTTTAATACTCTATGGTAAAAACAAAAATCAACGGAAGGAAATTAGGATCACATATGTATATTTTTTAGATCCTATAATGAAAAGAAGCCCCTTATATGAAGAGGAGGTGTATATTCTAGTTTCTAATGACAGAAACTGCAAAATCATAAAAATTTTCGGAAATAAATTAAATTTTCTAAATTTAGGCCACACCAGTTTCGGTAATCTTCTAATATGCGGGCTTTTATGAAAAGTATATTTATATATGAAAACAATGTGTGATATGTTACCAAAGGAGTTTTTATTACCAAAACGAGTAAATAACTTCATTAGGCGAAGTGGTGTAGGATATCTAATGGTCGACCCTGCCAGATTACAGTATTCTTAGTTGTTTTTTTAGATTAATTTTAAGTAATTTGGTGCACTGACGTGTTTTGGCTCGCGGGCGAACGCTACGAAAAATGGTTCGGATCGGATAAGTTTTACGACCACTCCCGATACACTCGACTTGCAACAAAAAGTCTGTTTATTGGGTATTGGGTAGTCGAGAAGCTAATGAGCAGCTAGATTTTTGCATCCTCCTTCGGAATGGTTCTAATGTATTGATGTGGATAATGAAAAGCTTACCATTTAGATATTTCTTGTCGGCATCTATAAACTACTCGTTTCATCCAAGCTGGTTACTACATACATACAATTTGGCGTCGTTAAGAGACATTTCTTTTATTACAATTAATTCGAATGTAGTGGTGCAAGATAGAGCGTTAAAGGAATTGTTGAAAATTCTATAAGGATTTGATTTTCAACAACACACATAGAAATTTTCTGCTTTTTTATCGTTGCATGTTGCGTTCGTAATTCCATAAATGATATTCATTGATAAATATATCTTTATACATAAAGGTTTGATTCAAAGCGTCCATCATTTCTCTCTCTAGCCATTCGTTGTTGAATTTTAACCTACTGTTTTTCATGATTCTTGCTTGTCGTTTCTTCAAATAAATGAATTTCTACGAAAGAATTTAAAACAAGCAAGTGTCAAAATATGCTTAGAGTGAGCCTTGAAAATCATGTTTCTTATGTAACATATGAAAATAAAAGCTCATGGAATTTCTTCAATAAACTTCAAACATATTTTTCCTATATTTTGAATAAATTGTATTAAACCAAACATTTGCATTTTCAACGACAGCTGTTTGCAATTTTTCTGGAAATCCCGTTCTGCAATTATCGTAGAACTTCTGCGACTTCCGGGCAAAAGATTGACCCAAGTCGCTTTTAAAATCCTCTTTCTAAATCAGCCTTACAGCATGTAAAGAAGTTTGTCAAAGAGTAAAACGAACGAAAGTCCAACGGGGTGCAGTCCGGGATATAGAATGAGGAAATGGAGTGGAAACTTCCCTACTTAGCACTACCAATATTTGTTCAAATATTAAAGATCTGTGTAGTTCGGCTCTATTGTGATTGCAGAGGGTGCATCCTTCCACCACTCTCTACCACTGTTTATGAACCTTTGTCCAAGTTAACCTGCGATCTTTTTCTTACCTTTTTTTTCGTACTTTTGCCATTTTTCTCTGCCCGTTTTCAATCGCCTGAAAGAGAACTCGATTTTAGTGCGTTTCAGTAGCGATTCACAAATGAAATCTTTAAAATTTTTTACTGTCAAATGCCGAGGCTCTTTTTGTATAGATCTTTATGCAAATGGTTCAAAATTATTTTTTGATCAATACTTCCGCAGCGATGTCATATCCCGTCTGTAAAGAACCATTGGCCTCTTACTGGTTATGATAAAGCATGTTCGTT